TTGATCTCTCTTTAAATTACAACGACAAATTTTTGTTAAAACTCTTTTGCTATGCTATACTGATATATATTTTCCATTTTTGGTGGCAGCTGTTTGTGTTGATGCGTAGTATCGAATATTGAAGGGAAAAGGTACAATATTGAATGGAAAATTTATAGGCTTTGCAAAAATGGCAAAAACTTGAAGTTTTTTTCTTCAAAAAAACTGGAAATAAAGCATCGAATAAACCATCAGCTTGCTTCTAAGTTACTTTTGGATGAGCTTTCCCAACGGGTTGTTGCTGTTGGCACTTGCTAACATTCAGGTTACTTCGGAATACCTCTGCCTTTCATAAACAGGAAGCCGGGAGAAGAGACAGGGACAGGGAGGTCTAACTGTTGTCGGTGATTTGAAAAACAGTTTTTCTGGATTGTACTTCCGCATCTTGTGCGTGAATTCAGTTTCTTTTTCTTCCTCTTTTTGTATTTGTAATAAACTGTTTAAAAACAATCAGTGTTACCTAAAAACAATTTTGGTTTCATCGTTTGTTTAGCAATTAATGTTAACTAATTGGCCGGGGGATGACCAGGCACTTGGAGTACCCAAGTATGGGCATGTGAAGGTTTTGGCGGGAAAACTGTTAACTCGGTAACCGGTAAAACTGGAAAGCTGAAGTTTTGGGGGGATGTTTCCCGTCCAAGTACAACTTAAGTGTTTCAAACTCAGCCTTGAGGTATTCGTAGTTCTTAAGTATGACGCTTAAAATTTTTGGCGGAAAAATTTCTCACTGAACAACTAGGCTACTTCTAAAGAATGACTGTTAGATGAAAATTGAACATTTACTATGCAGAATTTATGATGATTTATGCTAGTGAGCGCAAAAGGTAGGTGTAAAGCAACAGCCATTCTTACAGTTAATGACCTGAGTACTTGAAATCTGCCGCAAAAACGCATGATCGCACGGGCTCGCTCGGTGCGTTCCATTCTGGGTTGCAATTTGCATATAGGCAGAAAGGCGTAAAAACGACCGTTAAATGAAAATTCTCCATTTCCTTTATGTAAAATTTATGATGATTTAATCAAGTGAATGCAAGAAGTAGATGTGGAGCAACAGCTGTTCATGCAGCAAACGGTATTGTTAGTTCAGGATTGGTGCAAAAACGCATGACTGCATCAGCAAGCCTGGTGCATTCCAGCCTGGATTGCATGTTATAGGGAAATAAGGTATTTTATTCATTTTTGCGCATTTAATGGGAACATATCGCATTAACTTCGAAGAAAGCTTGCACCTTCAGATTACTTTGTAAATAAAAACCCCGGAGCACACTGAAATTTTGGGTTTCTTGCATCTATGCAACGAAAAACGCATATTGGCGAGTGGTTGTCTGTGTGTGTATATGTGTATGTGTGTGCATCTGTACCAATTTTTCATCACGATACCTAGAAAAGCTACAGGGCCTGAAACTTTGGGAAATTAATCTACATGTACGCAATGTGGTTTTCCCTTACGGGTTCATAAAAGTTATTGGTGGGTAAGCTGCTAGCTCGGGAACCAAAAAAGCTGGAATTTTTAGGGATGTTTCCCGTCCACGTTGGTCTTAAGAAGCTCCATCCCAACTTCCAGGTTTGCGTGGTTCCAATGTACGGGCCCGTAGAAGTTTCTGGCAGAAAAGTTGCCAATTGGAGGACCAGAAAAGCTAGAAAGCTAAAATTTTGAGGGGGTGTTTCCTAATAGTCTTGGTGGCCAATCTTAGTTCGCTTAGCTAGAAGCATCTTTTGGAAAACCGGTGTCATTAGCGACAAAAATCTGCGAAAAAAAAAGCATCTTCGCGCCGGTAGTCCGTGCGCTGGCGAATTATTTTCATTCAGTAGGTGTTGTTTTTGAAAAAAGCCAGAGATACATCTGTAGCACTGGAATTTCACATGGAATACCCGACTTACTGAATTACATTGGAGAGGCATCAGGGGCTTCTTGTTAACATTTGGGCGATTTTGAGAATTTTTCTCTCAGCAGTATCGAGAGAGTTCTACATTGTTAGCCTCTAGTCCTCCCCCATACTGGGTTTTGAGTTGCCGTTTGGGCTGTCATATACATTTTCCAATTATTCTGATTCAGTTTTGTTTTATT